GAGAGAGAGAGAGAGAGAGGATGTCATCTAGCTACTGCTATGGATGCTAAGATCCTAAGGAAACTACTCACACATGGTCATGCATGGTAGCAACAAGGTTGATAAAGATGGCACGGTGATGAATTTTCCCTCCATGAGGGTCTCGGAACAGGCCTCTAGGGATCTCCCCGGAATAGGAACTTGCGACAGTGAAACAAATAAAAAATTGGTGCGGAGGGTTTCTCGAATTATGGGATTTATAGGCGAAAGAATCAACATAACGTGGTGCCATGGGGCCCCATATGGCCTCCCCACACGGATGGGGCCTAAGCCGCGCCACCTGGTCACGTGGGGGCCTGGTGTGGCCCCCTGGCCCCTCCCAACACTTTTTGGAATCTTCTTAACTTGGAAAAAATAATTGTAAATCCTCATGGTATTTTGAGCTACACAGATATTGATTTTCTGAAAAGTCTAAGGCTGTGTATGGATTTAACCTGTGCTAGCCCTGCCAATGCTTCGGCACGCCAAAAAATTGGCGAAGCCAACGCCCGCCCACGATTAGCGTCAATATCCACGCAAAAGTGAACCGGAAGGATGCGCGAGACAGGGCACACAAAAAATTTGGCTTCGTTCCAAACAGTTGCCCACGCAGCAATCAACGGCAATAAATTCGCTGGGCAGGTTTTGGCATTGATCAAAGCAGACCCTAAAACATGTAGAAAACAACAATTGACTCTCGCTAGGTTAGTCTAGAAAAATTATAAAAATATACGAAAGTGATATTATAATAGCATGAAGCAACAAAAATTATAAACACGTTTGAGACGTATCACAGGTAGGGATGCAAACGAGTCGAGTTCGAGCGAGTTGGACTTGGCTCAGCTCAACTCATATTAAAATTCGAGCAAGCTCATACTGAGTGAAACTCAAGGCCGAGTTGTAGAACATGACTCGCGCTTAGCTTGTAACGATCTCGAGTCGATCTCGAGCTAGTTTCAAGCTAAATGAGATGATAAAAATTATAAAATCTACAACTATTATTTAAACTAGATAAGGCACAACATGACATAAAAAAGCACTACAAAAATATTATTCCTATCAAAACATTATTCAAAGATCCTTCATTTATTTATATATAAACTATAGTACCAACTAGACAACGTGAAAGTGAAAAAAAGGCTAATTCCAACCGAAGGTACATCCATCTCATCATGCTCGGGAGAGCTCATCTTGGTGGATGAAAGAAAAGAAAAACGATTGCCAGGAATGACATGTTTTCTAACACATGGTTGACCACGTACCATAATAAGCCCTAAAAAATTTCTACACTTAATTAAGCTTCCATGTTTGATGGTAAATAAAATGGACAAAAATCCTATATGACCTATATGGTTATAAATTATCCTATTTCCATTTAATATATGGCATGATCATTTAACATAATGATATTAGGCTGAGCCATCGAGCTAAAATCAAGCGAGCTACGATTGGCTCAAAATCGGCTCGTTTCTTGACCGAGCTACAGAAAGTGTTCATACTCAGCTTGTTTCTTTCCAAGTCGATCTCGAGTCGAGCCAAAAAATGAGTCGATCTCGAACGGCTCACGAGCCTTGAGCTTTTCTTGCAGCCCTAATCACAGGCCGCAAATGCACACATAGGCAGGCAGGCCCCACACACGAAGCTTGTGGCAGCGAAACAGCCTCTCGCTGCCCGGCCTCTCACCTCCATGACCCATGGACGGAGGCCATTAGGGTTGGCTGGGTGGATGGTCACACGCCGAGCCGGGCGCACGCGCGGGCCCGACTA